AGAAGTAAAAAAATAGTAAGTAAAAGCATCAAAATAAAGTCTTTTCATTTTCAAATATTACGAGTTTTAAATACGAGTTGGTCATAAAAAAAAAAAATTCCCGATAAATGAACCCCTAGTCGCCTATCCGCTGAAACATTCGAATTTTTTTTTTTTTTTTACTCCAAAGGGATTTGAATCCCGAAGGACTATTAGTTTCATTTTGGCATTTTGTGTCGGACTCATAAATGTCGGTTCACTTTTCAAACTGTTGCCACAAAATGTTAGAGTCCTGCATTATATTTGAAGAAATTAAATAATGAAAAATCTGCATAAATGTATGTATATTTCTCGTATTGTGATAAAACAACGGTACATAGAGTCATCGAAGTTTGAATAACGTAATCCTCCAACGAATATGAGCATGTGGAAGACCCATTTGAAATTTGAAATTTGTTTTATGATCGATTTCCTATTTTTTTAAAACTTTGACGAATTTTTGATTAACAAACTCAAGGATTTCAAAGCGAGCAATGGGCAACGTTGTGCAGAAAAAACATTTTATCCTCCAGCGCTTGAATCTCTGTATCGGAAATTCTAAAGATATGCTCGTTTTAAAACTATTTTTGCGATATTGCTGTTGCACTGGATCTTATGGTTTAAGTGCGAGGAACATGATATTTAATAAAGAAAGGTAACACACAAAATGTTAAAAAACGCCCCTTTGGACGTAATTTAAAATCTGAAACATTTCAGATTTTTTTTTTTTTTTTTTAAATGGCGGGAACTAGCCATTGTTATTTGAAGATATGCGCTCGAGATTGTAATGATCTAAAAGAACAGAGCTCTCACGATTATAGTGTAAAAATTTCGAAATTTTCGAATGGCAACACCCACTATTTTTCTGCGCAAATTACGAAAACTAACTATGCAGCCAGCCCTTTTGCATGGACTCAAAACTTTGACTGCAAACTTCGAACCGCAAACTTCGAACAAAAACAAAAAAATATTCAGCTCTTTTTATCCTCTTCCTCACTGGTGACTCGATGCCGTCTCATAATATAGCTGTTGTAATATCTTGTTATAGAATAAATAACTGTATTTATTGCTGAAGTGGCAACGCCATATTTGTATTATGTAACCGTTGCTCAGCAACGTGAGAAATTGTTACAAAATTCTGAAGTTTTTACCAGCTAGGAGTAGTACGAAAGTTTTGCCACTAAAAGAATTTCTTCAAATTATCTATCTCCGTGAACTAGAAATAAGATTTATGTTCTAATAAGAAGATTGCCTGTTTTGTCAATTACTGCAAAATACATTACACTGTCAACATTTATTGCGAATCGCAGGTGATGCCCATGCTTTGGTTGCAAAGCGAAGGCAACATTTATGGTGTATTGGTGTATTTAATTATGGCAAAGCATACTAGGACTATCTGCCTAAGTGGAGGGATGCTTTCGTGGAGGACTTTCTAAGGGAATTGGCTCGTATACACGTTACACATGGGGAAAACCACGAAAACGTCCATGCAGCTAGCCCGTTCGCGGGATTCGAACCTCAGGCTGAACTATCAGTGTTCAGCGACTTTACCGCTCGACCGCTAGTGGGCCTACAACATTCATGAAGATGTGTTAAGAAAACTTACGCTTGTCGTTAGATTGCGCTCAAATAATTTCCTGCATGAAGGTACGTGTTTTATACCACCATAGCGCACATTTATTAAGTGTATCAACAGTGAATATTTTCATAAAAATAATGGTAAAAGTATATTTTAGTGTACCCCTTGGCGAAACTTGGCTATTTTTGGCGTTACATGGATATTGAGTTTGTGCAATTCTTTGACTTATCTTGGCTTGCATAGCGGCGATTTTTGTGCCAAAAATCGCCACTACACAAAGCCAACGTAAGAAGACAAAGAATTACACAAACTCGGTATCCATGTACACATGGATCTATTTTCACTTCAAAAAAATTCAAGAATTGCACAAATATGGCATTACGCACTCCCTCGACACTGCGCACTCGCTTCACTTTGTCCATGTACACATCGATCTATTTTCACTTAAAAAGTCAAAGAAGCACCCAATTCAACAATATAGGCAAACAAAAAATTCATAATCTCAATACACTACATTTTAAACCAAACAATAAAATAACATAAAAAAGGAAAAAACGTTATACATTTAAGCACTACAAAAGGAAATATCCACTTACCCTATTTAGAAGTTCCTTCGTCTTTAGTCTGTGGCACACAAAATTCCTTAACAGCATCCAAAAACTTCCTAAAATTATCTGAACTCGAAATCCGTATATCGGCACGTCTGAACCTTTCTTCCTACAAACCCATTCAAATCCATCTAAACCGTTTTTACGTTCGACTAGATGCATATCCTTCCTACATACAGGACACTTACAATGGCTACTAAGTAAACATTCATTTACACACCAGTCAATTAACGCTCTTTTCCTCTTTCGTTCCAAATCGTACAGAAACTTCAAATTAATCTTACTACATTCCGCCATTCTACCGTCTAAACAATAAAACCAACACAAAAGCGCTTACAAAACCTCGTATGATTCAAAATTTCTCAGAATCATGCACCCGATTACGTCACAATAAAGTTTCTATAACATTCAACGGTACTTTTCCGTTTTGCCGGCGCAAGCGATAAAGTCGCCAATAATGGTACAACCGATGCCAAACGGAATATTCTCGCTGGTAACCTTTTACGCCTCATTTTCAAAACAAGTCGCAGCTTTTTCCTATCAGATTGATTCTTTCTTTCAATACTGGCACATAATTTTTTATAGAATTTTTATCAGCTAGTTCAGTTTTATGTCTAAGGCCATTTTCGGTAATTAAATCAATTAGGATGCAATCAATCATAGCGCTTACCCGAAGCCGAAAACTATAGAAAAGGTAAAGTCAAGGGTTAAATTCATTAATTCAATGAGAATGCATTAGCGAAGTAAAGCACTGCAGTTTTACATAATTTCTGAGTAAGCTATTCGTACGAATTGAAATATTTCTTGCATTTAAACTTGTGTTCCAAATTAAGATTTAACTTGAAATTAATGTAGAATGTAGATAATTACTGAGAGCATTAGATTTTTGTACAGTTGTTTACGTGAGATGAGATCGCTTGGGGTCACGTGATATGAACCGGCGAATCAGGATGTTGAACCATGAAAACATAGTAAATTCTTAAATTAATGTCTTTTTATAATTTTATTGTCTTTATTTATTGGCTTTTTATAAAATTTTAAGCGATATTAAATTGTTTATGCCTTCAAAAAAAGAATTCTTAGAACTAACATTTTTTTAATATTTTTTATGTGTATACTGTATGTTGGCCCCAATAAAGTCTGCTTGGCGAGATTTGCGCCGGCGAAACGGAAAAGTACCCATTCAACTACTCAGGCTACCATAAATGAAACAACAACTTGGCGATAAATGAAACAACAACTTGACGATAATTGAAACAACAACTTGGGCGATAAATAAAACAACAACTTGGCGATAAATGAAACAACGACTTGGCGATAAATGAAACAACAACTTGGCGATAAATGAAACAACTTGGCGATAAATGAAACAATTTGGCGATAAATGAAACAACAACTTGGCGATAAATGAAACAACAACTTCGCCCTAATACAGGGTATACCTTAAAGTCTACTCTAACCAAAATAATTATAAAAATGGGATACTTTAAAAATTATATTGACTAGTTATATTATTAAAAATTAAATAAATATGCACATTTAAAAATATTATTAAAATATACGTATGCTGCATTAGCAACATATTCCTTTAATTTGCATAAAAATTTGTTAAAGACTGTACGTCACGCCGCGGCAGTATCCAGAACTGCCAATTTACCAGGCAGGGTTGATGATAAAAGAGCAGAATTGAAAACGTTGATGATGAAAGAGCGTAACAAAATGTGAATCTAAAAATGGAAAGATGAAGCTTGGTTTAGCTTAGTTTGAGTATGGCAAAGTATGCCAGGGTTATCTGCCTAAGAGATGCTTTCGTGGAGGTTTCTTTAAGGGAGATTGGCTCGTATCTGCTTTACACTGGCGAAGGGAACGCCATTGCAGCTCAAATTCTCCTTCGCCAGGTTTATTTTAGTTTATTTAATTACAACAAAGCACTCGAGGGCTATCTGCCAAAGGGGAGAGATGCCTTCATTGGGGATTTTCTAAAGGAAAATGGCTCGTATACATCTCCTTAGCCGGGATTTTAACTCACGTCTAATTACGAGTGTAAGCAACATAATACGTTTGCAAAAGCGAAAGATGAAATTCTTCGGTAAACTGGGGGGGGGGAACTTAAAATTATAAAATTAGGAATTTTATACTTTCGGGAGGTTCTTCAAACGCCTTCCAGTTATACGTCCTGCACCCCATATCAGACTGCTGATATTTGCAGAAGAGTATTAAGAACAAGGGTTCGTAATAATATATGCTGCCAAGAGACATTTTCAAAAACAGTTCCACTACGCCAACAAATTTTAGTTAATTGTAAAGTAAAAATACAAAGCATGCATTTATGCAAAAGATATTGAATTTAGATAATTTTTAATTGCTTTATTAATAATACGAATTATATCGCAGTCGGGTTTCGCGATAAAATTCGTAGTTGGTGGCTTCTTATAACAAAGACTGATCATTTTTACAACAATTATTATAACAAAGATTATTTATTATGAATTGCTTGATTATCTTTACAATTCCTATGTTATTTACTTATATTAATTATAATAAACCTCTTGACTTGCGCCAAATTATTGTGTGTTTTTCTAACCCCCAAAGCCAGATAGATACCTTCAAAGAATATGAAATTACTACGAGTTTGAACGTATGTGGCGTAGATAAAACAAAAACGTTCTATGAATTAACTCGTAGCTGGCGCCCAAACACAAACTTCGACCTACGTGATAACTCGTGGTCGGTACCGAAAGCGTTAAAATACAACTATTTCTTAAAGTGAATTTTAAATTATAATGAAGTCTTACCTATAAGCTGGAAGACTGCCGAACAAAGGCTGAACGGCCAGGATGCCTCTTCTCTGGTCACATCAAAGGTCTGAAGCAAAGCTACGTACATCACACCAGCTGAACGGAAGAGTCCAAACAGAGCGAAATGTATGTATGAGCAACATAGGACAATGGCCCAACTGTAACCGCTGTCGGGCCCTTGAACTGCCATGTTCTACACGAGTACCTCCACTAAACTTAGACGCTTGAAATGGGAACCATTGTTCAGTGGCAAGGTAATTTAAGTAACCAATACTAATCAAAGACTTAGATCGATATATCCATCTTCTTTTTCGACATTTTCTTCGTAATTCTCCTTTCACCCTAAAAACGTTAAAGAAAATGTTTTAGTACTTTGCTAAAGCAAAAGAAAATTAAAAGAAAATAAATGCAAAAGTTTGAAGTCATAAAGGGAAAAAAAGGATCTTTTATAAGAACAAAAAAATTGCAATGAAAGACATGATTTTAAACAGCGGTGGAAATAAAAAAAAAATTATAAACATTTGCTGGGGACTTAAATTAAAGCCATAAAGTTAGTTAGCAAACAGGAACAATATTTCAAACAGTTTACCAAATTAAATATATTACGCAGCTGGCTGTTCCAAACCAATAAAAAACCGGCTAAATCCCATTACTGAATTTCACCCTTTCCACAATACAAACGTAATAACCTGCAGTTTGCTAACCACAAACACCGACGCCATGTGTGATGACAAAGCAAATTACTCAATACAACTGACATTGTTACTTGCAGATTTTCTAACATTAATATACATGTTGTTGAGAAAGGTGGATACTGGCATTATTTAAATTCTTATTATTATTTACCTTCTCCAAGATTCATAAAATAAGGCTAATAAGCTTTCGAGACTGACCTGCTAGTTTATTTAAGTTGTGTGATTGGAAGGCAAAATTCTAACTTCTTAGTGTAATCCTAGTTTCTTCGTTATAATATATATATAAAGGGTGTTTAGCACAGCGGTTACAAACTTTCAGGAGAGGTAGAGTACATTTAGACAATGGAAAATCAAATAGAATTGCATAGTCGGACATGCTTTCTTAGCGCGGATAGTAACTATACAAAACACAAGAAAGAAAGGTCATGAACAGGTTGAGAAAACAGGATGATGATGGAGCCTCCTAACATTACAGTCTTGGGTACAACTCTAATATACGCCCTAATTTCACCAAATGTGGCGATATGTGTTCTGCGCTGGTTTTTGACACGATTGCGTGTTCTATGGCAACCCTGTTGACGTTGAAAAATCTTTCGCTGGAGCTCGTTGATTCGCCTCTGTGTCTGAGAAGATGGGAGGGAAAGATAGAATGGTAGTTGTTGAATTGAAGTTCGGCAAAAGGAAATATTCATTGTGGCCCTATCCTGTTGAGGGGTAGCGGGTATTTGGAAGGTGTGGAAAGAAGGGTCTGGGAGATTATTTTTAATGGCTAGTGCATGACAGAAGTAGGGATTTGTGATTTTTATTTGTTTGTGAACCATAGTATGAATTTTCTGGATAGTGTGTCTAACTGTCATGTAAATACGATAGTGATTACGTGGCGGCATGTTTAGGCGGTATGAAATTGGTATTTCTGCTGCTATTCGAAAAAGCATTAATTCATGGTAAGTGCATTTTATTTTATCCTTGTTCTTATTTTGTAGAATGTTATGTTCATTGGTTCTTTATTATGAATTTCTGTCGTTATTGTTGTTTTTTTAAATTGTTTGGAATTTACTTTAGTTTATTTTGTTCTTTAGTGTCTAGACTGTGCAATTCGTAGATGTTTTTTATAGTTGAAACAGAACGCTGTGTACAGGGTATTATTTGAAATTTATTGTTATGTTATTTTATTAAAGCGAGGATTGCGTAGATCGTAGATTCCTTCCTTGCCTAAATTGTGCAATTCGTAGAATTTTTTTTAACTTTAAATAGGATGCTGTGTACATGGTATTCTTTGAAATTTATTGTTGTTATGTTAATTTATTAAAGCGAGGTGTGCGTAGTTTGTAGATTCGTTCGTTGCCTACATTGAGCCATTCGTAGATGTTTTTTAAGTTAAAACATGTCGCTGTGTACATGGATTCTTGTCAAATATTTTTGGTTAGAAACTTTACGTTTTTGCTATGTAAATTTTTTGTTTTTAGATTTTTAGCTAAATTGTATGTTGAAAACGTAGTTTTTGCATGTGCGAAAACCGAGTTTTTGGAGACATTTTAGGCTAAAAGTTCGAAATGTAGACAAAAAATTTAGATAGTAATATGGCAGCGTGAAGTTTCTCGCCAAAAATATTTGGCGCGAAATTTGGCGACTTGAGGGCGTATATCAGAGTAGTTCCCAGCCTTGATGTGCCTGAATGCAACACATCTTCAACATTGGATCGATGGAGATGGACCGACACACCGGACGAAAGACCTCCGTCCCAAGTCCTCATTATGTGGGACCCATTCAGAGTTTGAGGTATCCTACGTCCATGGGACCTCGTTCTCGCGGGCGCAACCCCCGCAGTCCCCGCCCGGATTTTACGAAGCATTGGGGAGTATAGTAACGCTGGCAAAAGAATTACGTTGTCACTTGCCGCCGGGCACCACTCCATGGCAAAACCACATTGTAAAAAAGGTGCACTGTCCGCTTTGTCAGTCCCCGCCACGAGAACTGAATGGGGTCAAACCCCCAGGAACTTAGTCGACAAAATGTACTATATAACTCCACCACAGCCGGAGGAAGAGACACGACAGTACCAGTACGGTCCCTCCCAAGCCTGAACCAAGACGAGTACAATACTCGGATTCTAGTCCTGTGAAGTCAAATTATATACCCTCGTGGTTGAGACTGCCTAGGTACAGATTCTAACCAGTGCTTCCCAGGCGTTCGCCTGAGTCAACCCCCGGGGGGACGGAGATGGACCGATGCACTGGCCAGCAAAATCGCCAGGCTTCACTTGCACTGTCAAGATACTGGTGTATGAAACCCCAATTAACACTGCTGAGGAACTTGCTGGAGAAGGCCGGGCGAAAAGGCTCTGGGTTGGTTGACTTCAGGATATTTAAGGACCCTCATATATTTCAGTCGCACTAAAACATTCTCAACTTGTGCCAAATGCAGAAACCATAAAGCGACTGCGCTTCTGAAAGGACCTAATTTTATGTTGGAAGTCATGGAGGTGTCGCCCAGATGGCATAGTGGTTAGAGGAGTCTACTGCGGTACAGAAGAACCCGGGTTTGAATCCCGGAAAAGAATGTTTGTAAATGAACAGTGTCCTGTACGGCAAAGGGGCACTCCAAATATACAGCGAGCCGAGAGTCCTGTCATGTGGTTTGGTGGAACGGGAGAGAGAGATGGAAGATCCCCTCCGGACCACCATTCCAATGTGCTGGGATGTCCCCTCGAAATTGGGGTGGAAAATAGGAATCCAACCTCTCTTTGGAGTAGGCTCTGGAAACCACTTCATGGCAAAACCACATTGTAAAAAAGGTGCCATGTAATATGGGTACAACAACACAAGTAGTGAAGGCTAATCAATATGGATCTGCTCTGATTCAGATCAGACAGATTAGTAAGAAGAAGACATCATATTTTCCATGCGCTGGAGATGTGAGGTTGCATCACGGTCCGGGGTCGTCATTCCGAACGCTTTCTTCGATTGTTGTCAGATTTTGTTCTAATTTATTGGTTTCTACTGTGCTAAACATAATAAAATACTTTCTAATCCTGTTCGTGTCCTTCTTTTCTTGCGTCTTGTGCCGTCGCTACCACGCCAGGAAAGCGTTTCCGACCATGCACTACTGTATTTCTCATCGTCTGGATGTATTCTATCTCTCCTGAAAGTTTGCGTCCGTTGATCTAAAACGCCCTGTATATATGTCAGATTGAGAATTAGAGCTGGATTGAAATGGAGAAAAATAGTATCATTGTTTAAGTTTATTTACCAATATATAATTAACATAATTTTTTAAGACTTCAAAACACTTCTTTAGGCATTTACCCTGTTTCTGAAAACTTTCAGATTCACCGCAAAACATTAATCCACGTATATGTAAAAATGGATGTGTGTCTGTCTGTACTCGATAGATTCAAAAACCATACATCCAATCGCCGTGAAAATTTGGGAAATTATTAGGAATATCCCTAGGAAGGTTTTTGAAACTTTTTTTAAAATTAGAGTTGGGGTTCTAGGTGCTCCCGAACAAATATCCCAAAAATATCAAAATAATATTTAATTAGTAATATTTGTTAAAAGTGTAACCATGAATAAATTGAAAAACTAAATTTTTACCCATAAAATTTACTCATAGAATTTACTTTTATAAAACAAACTAAACTGTAAAAAATAACATACCCATAATAACAGTTGTAATAAAAAATATAAATCACAAGGTCAGTAAAATATTGAATCGTTGTATTTATATTTTTGCAATTATTGTTTGAATATTACAAATTATATTAAAATTTAAAGTATTTTAAATACAAGAGCCAGTGCACCCCGAAGCGATTGTTTCAAATATCGAATCAGATTTTTTATTTTATCTTTTCGATTTTATCCCATCATTTTTGAATACTTTCATTCTCTTTTAGAAATGTGGTTTTGGCAACAGTTTTTCATTCAGTTGTATATTGGATTTCAATTGTATACTGGACTGCTGAAATTCAGCACCGTTGCCATTTGGAAATATGAGGGCGATAATTCTGTGCATTTTTACTTCCTTGTACGAAGTAAAAAGGAAGTATTGTAATCGCGAAAAGTTTCAGGCAGCATATTTCAACGAAAATATCCATTTTGACCGCTATCGAATAGAATTTAACGATGTTTTTGCGTGATATCTGTACGTAAGGACAGAATAAAATACTCTATTAAAATTAGAATCTAGAAAAATTAATTCTGAAGAGAATTTTTCGTGGCGTCTGTACGAACGTACGTACATACGTACGTATCTCGCATAACTCAAAAACGAGTAGCCTCAGAACGTTGAAATTTTGTATGTAGGACTGCTATAACATGTACATATGCACCTCGTATTTTGGTTGCAATCGGCTGCACCAAATGTATAGAAATATATGAATATATATATCTCACTCTGTTACTCGGCTCAGTGACCTCAGTTTCGGTATTCTTATTGCGGTAAAATGCGCAATTTACAAACATATTGTAAATTGCGCATTTTTTTGCTTTATAAATAATTCAATTATGTTGTTTCTTATATTCCGGTTAAGGTATTTATGCCTTTAGTAAATCTGTGTGCGCATATATTTGGAGAATTATCAGCAACTTAAAAGTTGCTTAATTGTAGCTAAGCCTAATTGTTTTTCCCATAGCGGCCATGTTGATGT